AGAACTATATTGAATAGTAGTGGTGACAGTGGACATCCTTGTCCTGTTGCTTAGTGTTAGAGTGAAAGCTTTCAGGTTTTGACCATTTAGTATGACACAGGCTGTTGATTTGTCATAGTTGGCCTTTTTCAGATTGAGTTAAAGACAATCTGTTCCAATTTTCTATAAAGTTTTTATAGTGAATGGTTGTTGGACTTTGTCATATGATTTTTTTCCCCTATTGAGATGATCACGTGGTTTTTATCATTGGTTCTATTAACAGGGTGTGTGATGTCATTGATTTGCATATGTTGAACCATCCCTGCACCCCTGGGATGAATCCTACTTGGTCATGGTGTATAATCTTCATGATGACTTGCTGCATTCTGTTTGCCAGTGTCTTACTGAAGATTTTTGTGTCTATGTTCATTAGGGAGATTGGTCTGTAGTTCTCTTTTTTTGATTGGATCCTTCTCTGGTTTTGGTATCAGGTAATGCTTGCTTCCAGGAATGACTTTGGGAGTACAGTATTGCTTCCCTTTCAATTTTATGGAAGAGTTTAAGGAGTAGCAGCATTAGGTAGGTCTTCTCTAAACTTCTTGTAGACTTCAGCACTGAATTGGTCAGAACCTGGGCTTTTCTTTGGTGGTAGGTTTTCAATTACATCTTCCATTTTGTTGAGTGACATTGGGCCATATAGAACTTTTATATCATCTTGATTCCTCTGTGTTAATTTATATATATCTAGGAATTGGTCCATTCCTTCTTTGTTTTCCCTCTTGTTAGAATATAAGTTTCTCAAAGTAGGTATTAATGATCCTCTGAATTTATTCAGGATCTCTTGTGATTTCACCATTTTCATTCCTAATTGCATGGATTTGAGTCTTTTCTTTCCTTGTGTGGTAAGGTTGGCTAAAGGTTTCTCAATTTCATTTCATGTTTTGAAGAAACACCACTTCAATTAATTGATTCTCTGTGTTATTGTCTTGGTTCCTTTGCTCTTCTTGCTGAGACAAAATCCCAACACCCAAAATTGAGGAAAGGTTTATTTAGCTTACAGTTTATGGAGTTTTCAGTCCATACTTGACTGGCTCCAAAGCAGAGTGGCACATGGCACAGGGCAACCTTTCATGGTGGTGGAACATAGCAAAGGCAAGAGCAAAAGGGAGGAATGGTAGGAAGAGCAAGCCTCTTCCCCTTACACATACAAACTGTCCACCCCAAGGCAGGTGTAGCACTCATGCCCAGTCAGTCAAAACTCTAAAAGCCTGTCCCATGACTGCATGAAGATTTGGGGGGACATGCAGACATAAGCCATAGCAATTAGTTTCTTAGTCTCTGTTGCATGAATTTCTGCTCTGATCCTTATAATTTCCCCTCTGGTACAAGTTTTGGGCTTGACTTGCTCTTCTCTTTCTAGAAGCTTGAGGCTCAACATTATGGTGTTTATTTGAGTTCATTCTGCATTTCTTATATGAGAATTCACCACTGTAAGTTTCCTTCATAAGACTTCTTTCATTACATCCCATACCCTCTGGTATGTTGTATGGGCATTATTGCTTAATTCTAGAAACTAATTTCTTCTTTAATTTCATCTGTGACCCACTGATTGTTCAAAAGGATATTATACAATTTCCATGCATTTATGGAGTTTTCTGTGGCTTCTCTTGCTATTGATTTCCAGTTTCATTGCACTGTGGTCTGATAATATGCAAGAGATGATTTTGGTTCCTCTGCATTTACTTAAGCATGTTGTATGAGTAGTATGTGGTATATTCTGGTGAACATCCTGTGTGCAGCTGAGAAGAATGTGTATTCCAATGTTGTGGGGTGGAACACTCTGTAGACATCTACTAAGTCCATTTGTTCAAAAGTTTAACTCAGTTCTGATCCTTCTTTTTTGGTTTGTTGTCTAGTTGATCTGCCTATTTTGTGAGGTTTCCCCATTAAAATTGTATTAGTGCTTATCTGATTTTTCATGTCCTAATATTTGTTTTCTATGTTGGGTACATTGGCATTGGGTGCATATATGATAGTTATCTCTTCCTCTTGGACTGTTCCCTTTACAAGGATGTAGTTACCTTCTCTGTCTCTTGATTAGTCTTGGCTTGAAATGTACTTTGTCTGCAAATAGAATAGCTACCCCTGCTTTTCTCCAGGTTCCTGTACCATGGACTATTGTTTTCCATCCTTTGACTTTTAGTCTATGAGTATCTTTTTGAGTTAAATGTGTTTCTTGTATGCAGCTGATTGTTGGATATTGTTTCTTGATCCATTTTGCCAATGTGTTTCTTCTGATTGGTGAATTGTCCATTCACATCGATGGGTATAAATGATATGCATTAACTTAACCTTGTCATGTAATTTTCCTATTGTTTCTCTTTTTTCCTCATCTGTTTAACTGCTTGTCTTGCTCAGTGAATTCACTCTGTTGGGATTCATGTGATGGGAGTCTTTGCTATCTCTTTTCAGAAGAGCCTTCAAAATGGTTTGGAGTGTTGGTTTAGTGGTCATGAAGTTCTTCAGGTGTTCTTTATCATGGAAGTATCTTATTTCTCCATCAATTTTGAAGGGTGGTTTTGTGGGGTACATCAATCTTGGCTGGAGGGTATGTTCTTTTAGGGCTTGAAATACTTCACTCCAAGCTCTCCTTGACTTGAGGGTTTGTGTTGGGAAGAAGTCTGCTGTGATTCAGATGGGCTTTCCTTTATAGGTGATTTCTTTCTTTCCTCTAACAGCTTTTAATATGCTTTTCTCATGTTGAATTTCTGAAATCTTGCCTATTATGTGGCTTACTTAGCTTTTTTTTTTCTTTATCACAGCCAATTGGAATTGATATGTCCCACATATATGTATGTTCAATTCTTTTTGCATGCTTGGAAAGTTTTCTGCCATTTCTTCTGTGAACAAGTTTATTTTATGTCCTGCCATCTCCTGTTTTTTTCACTGACTCCAATCAATCTCCTGTTATTTGTCTTTGCATCATCATATTGGTGACTTATGGTGATACTTTTCTCAGGCTCCAGCATCTGGCTACTTTGTTTTAGCTATTTGTGATAAGACGGGCGTGTCAATCCTGCATGACCTCGTCAGCCAGATGATGTAAATACTTTCTCATGTTTGTATTTATGTGACTGTGATGTAATTATGCTGCAACAGTTAATGATATTCAGACATTGTATAGCGCAGGCAATGCCACTCTAAAAATTAAATGGTTAGAGGATAATAACCTGAAAAGTACATCTATAGACAAGTAGAATGGCATTCTATACAAGATACAAGTTCACATACAAGCTTATGTGGGTTAATCTCTTATAGTTAGATAAAAACAACTGACTAAGAAGTTATTCTATACTTCTGGCTTAATAATATCCCTTGGTTATTGCAGGCTGATGAGGCCTGCAATCTCCTAAACAAGTGGACAGTGAAGGCTTAAGTAAATGAGATAACTGAAATGATTTTGGGGCCCCAGGAGGTTCCAAACTCTCTAACTGAATTTGTAATTCTCTGGGTTAAGACCAAGGACTTTTCTGGGCAGCCCGTATTTATTAGGTTTTCAAACAAAGGAGGAGAATGCTGAAGAAAATGCAGGAATCTGAGCAGCACCTTGGGAGAATTTTCCCAAGTAGTAAATTATGTCAAACAGGAGAACTACCTTATCTTTAGGTTGGCATTTCTTGTAGGAGTGTGGAGCCTGCAACTGCTCTGTCCTTTTAGTTAATTGGGGTTGGAGCCAAACATCCTCAGCTGTGGCCTTATCTTGTGCTTTGAGGTGTCACAGCTTCACAGGCCTCAGTGGTGACCAGCAACTCACAGAGGTTCACTTACTGTGAGTCCTCTGCCCATCTCCAGACAAGGTGCCCAGACATTGGACAACTCACAAGTAAACATGGAAAGCCAATTGGTTGATATTAAATTCTACTCAGAGCTGCTTCATAGCGGTCTCCATCACTCTATTAAGATGAACATGTAAATGTTTCAGAGATAATAAAAACACCTATCAGCCCTGATATAACAATGTCATCATGATGACCACACTAAAATTTTATACTGCCCCAATCTCAAGTTTTCTCTGTAAAACTTTAAAATTGTTGTTTGTTAACATTCTACAGGAATTCAACGTGTAAGACAACCATGAATGATAAAATCTACTCCTCAGGCAAGGGTCAATCTCATGGTTTCAAAAACAAAAAAATTTGACGCATAGCAAAAAAATAGAAATGAATGCACACAGCCTCAAAAAGACCCACACAGAATACTGATCGCCATGTTCTTTTGAATGGCTACCAGTCAAAATCAGGTCTCTCCCATCAGTAGACATTCACACACTGGAACACACTCACCAAGGATGCCAAAACACTGATAACTGCAGAAAAATGGGTGCACCACAAAAACATATGTGTCTAAACAGAAAATACAAACAACTACACAAAAGGTGTGGTATTCAATGTTGAGAATTTCAAGAATAAGCAAAACTATTCTGGGACAGCAGTCAGAATGGTGGTCGCCCAGGTGGGAGTGGGGTGGGGATTCACTGCCAAGAGGCTCCTGGATTTTCCAGATGAATGGACGTTTTCTATCACTTGACCTGGGAGATAGTTTGTTTCTGTCAAAATTCATCGGGCCGTGCCCTGAAGATTTGCATGCTCTGGTCTGTGAATTAGTTATCCTTCAGTCACGTCCTCTTAGATACTATCTGAGACACAATATTCAACACCCACAACTCTAAGGAGCAAAGGTTTATTTGGCTCATAGCTGGTCGACGTTTCAGTCCTGCAAGGCAGGACAGCATGGCAGCAGGGCAAGGCAGAGGAGAAAGAGCTGGAGATTTGGCTGCAGGAAGCAGAGAGAGAATGAAGGGAGGTGGGGGAGAAGGACCCTTCCAGGCCACGCCCCAGCGATCCGCTTCCTCCCGCCAGGCTCCACCTCCCGGCATCACTTGTAGCTGTAAGCTCATCAGTGGACGAATCCACTGATGAGCATCACGCCTCCACGATTCAGTCACCTCCTAAGACTCCTACCTGTCAGTGAGTGCACGGGGCTTTGGGGGGACCGCTAGACGTAAACCGTGACACCTACACTGTGAGAAAGAAAAGAAAGAGAGAAAACTGTCGGTCAGGGAATGTCATCAGGTTTACGTTTTATTATGCTTATAAGGTTTTCACTGAAAAACCTTCCGTTAGAGGGTGAACTCGCCCCTCGTCTCATTTTCTTTTGGCCCAAAAAGGCTCCCGGATGTTCGCGCTCTCTGACTCAGGAAAAACGGGTAGGGTCCCACCTTTGCGGTAGTGTAAGACAGCCAAGACTCAGCAGCAGCACCTCTGTTTGTGGCTCTTGCGGTTCGTTGGCTGAGATGGGGGTGGGGAGCACCTCCAACTTTCCACTTTGAGGAAGCCTGAGGCGGGCACGGTGCCGTTTCCCCTCCTACCTCTGAGCTCCCAGGAATCCAGAGCCGCTGGCAAGTTTTGCACTTCGTGGCAGGTAAAAAGCGCACCGACCCGACGGGGACAACGGAGGAGGACGCTGCTGAGACTCGGATTCCAGCTGAGGCTGCTGAGGCCACAACACGGAGTACCAGCCGCTGTATGACCACCCCGAGCCCCAGGCAGGGCAACTACTTGGCTTGCTTTTCGATGATGATCAGCCTAGCGTATGTGCTTCTGTAACATTCGCCCCTTTAGTTTCCAGAGACCTCCAGCTCTTCGGGCTAACCTTGGCTTGCTCCTTCAGCCTCCCTCCGTGTGTCTCTTTCCTTCTCATCCTGCTACAATAAAAAGCAATTCCTACCGCTGGAATAGTCCCTGAGGGATGCTCAAGTCTCTGGGATCTCGGGACTCTGGACAGGCCCGCTGAGATCCTTTCCTTCTCAGTGGAGCCCCCTTCCGGCCGCTCCCCCGACTCCCATTGAACCAGGGCGCCCTGAGCCGAGCGCAAGGGACGCCACGGCCTCCGGTCCCCTGTGCTCCACGGAACGTGGGGAACCCGACCCGACCCGACCCGACCCGAAGAAACTTCTCCTTTCCTGAACCCCTCGGATTTCCATTCTAGGGTTCTTCAAAATTTAAAAGCGATAATGGATGATGATGGATGAACGCGCGGAGTCCTACCTGAGATTACGGCGAGGGCTGGATCCTGTTCGTGGCTCGGGCACCCGCTAGGACGTCGTCGCCAGCCCTGCCCTGGTGGAGACCCGTGCTGGACACAGGAGCCCGCCGACCGCAGCGGGGGCCGCACACGGCCGGCGAGGGCGAGCACGGCAGGCTCCCCGGCTGCGGATCGCTGTGAGGGGAGCAGGGAGAGCCGCCGCCCGGGCCCCCGGGGCCACTCCCGGGCGCCAGCTCCCGACGCAGCCACGCACAGCGCGGTGGTCGCCCGGCCGCCCCGGGACTTCGGAATCCGCCGCCCCCGCCGCGGCCGCCGCGCAGGTTTCAGTTCTGGGGAGGACGCCCGGATTCGCCGCTCGGATCTCTCCGGGCCCTACCTACAAGGCTCTGCCCCTCGCGCAGACGTCCTCCCAAACCCGAGGCGCAGGGGGAGGGGCGCGTGTTCACGCTCCCTACGGGGGTACCGAGCCCGGAGAATCGGTCTCTGAGGCGCAACTCTGTGCGAGGCGGTCGCCAGAAGGAGCGGGAGGTGCTCCCAGCCCACCCTGCCGTGCCGGCCCTCACTTTCAACCCTTCCCGCACCTTGTCAGCTGCGTTCTACTCTTTGTCACCCGCAGCGCCCGCCACACATGGGGGGAACGCTATGCTCCAAGTGTCCCGGCAGGGCCTCTGACCCTGCACTCGGAGGACAGTTGCTGGCCTCTCAGGTGGAGACTGCTGACCCACAGCGGACAGGGCCCGGCCTTCCCGGTCAGGCTGGTCAGGCACCCCAGAGAGCGTTTTCCTGCTCCTGCCCGAACAATGAATGTCGTTGTCAGCATCCAGAGAGCGAGCCCGAATCGGGCTTTTAGCACTCAGGTGCTACCCCATCGCCTAGTCCCTTCATTCCGGTATATTGCCGTGTACTCCAGTGGTCTCACTGGCTCCCATGCCACGGACCCCTTTTTCTCATGGCCCCCAAGAGAGATTCCCTCCAATGGATGTTTCCGGACTCGAGCAACAGACTAGAAGCTATGGTGCCTGAAAGGGTTTCCACACTCTTCTGAGTTGCGTATCTCCCCTGGTTCCACCGGCCTAGTGTTTGGAGCTGATTGCGCCTACAGCAAGATGATCCCGTTCTCTGCTAAGCACCTCAAATAAGATTTCTCCCAGCGTTTTTGTCAAATTGGGATGATTTTGTTTCTGTCTTTGCAGAATAGAACGTACTAGTACAAGGTGAGCACTATGGTCTTCCAATGTCCATTGAAGCGGTGACTTGACAAAATCCACCTCCATGAGGGAGTGTTGTGTGGTCACTCTTGCTGGGCACCATATTCTTGTATTAAAAAGGAAACAAAAAAGATGCATACATTCTCTTAAAAGACTAGAAAACACTCACACACATACACACACACACACACTCACACACACCTGTAAGGCTAGCTGAGCTGTAGGGATCTGAGCATAGTCTCTAGTTTCTTTCATAACTACTGCTTTTCTTGTTGACCTTGGAGAGCTTCCCATTTTAATTGGAACACTACATCCTGCAGATAACCGGATTTGAAACACACCACCTTCCTTCCTAATCTTGTTCTTGTTGTTGTTACGTTTTTTTGAGACAGGGTCTCCATAGGTAGTTCAGGCTGGCCCTGAACTCACTGTGTAGGCCAGGCTGGTCTCAGCCTGCGGAGTGCATGAATTCCAGGCGTGCACCAGCAAGCCCGGCTGCCTTGGTAATCTTAAAAGCTCCGTTGTATGCATTAAAAGCCATCATTTCAAGGAGGGTACCCGGGCCTCAGCAGGCGGCCCAGAGGCTCCTCCGCCAGACACAGGGTAGGAACTTCGGCACATCGGGGAGACCAGGCGGGGATCCCGGAGCCCTGGTCCCCACCCATGTTGCCAGGGCTTGGGAAGGAGAGAGGGGCAGACATCACTGCCCCCAGGGATCGTCGGCGCACGCCCAGCCTGGAGCCGGCCAGCGTGGGGAAAGGGACATGGGGCGGGCATCGGCTGGTGGGATGGGCGCCCGGGACCTCAAGACTGGGCGTGGCCTGTGCAGGTGAGACAGCTGCTGGTTGAGTGTGCGGTGCTGAAACGCGATGGATTTGCCGTGCTGATAGAGGGAGCTAGGACAATTGGTGAAAGCCAAGTGCATGTGCTGCGTGGAAGGGCTAGAAGAGAGTGCGCGAAGGAAAGTGACTGTGAGTGTAAAGTGTGGGGAACATGAGGCTTCCTTGGGGAGGCGGGGGAATTATTCATATTTACCTTGTAGGGGAAGATGCCGTGATCGCACAGGTGATTTCTCCAGGTTGAGACTTATCCATTGCACTGCAAATGTGCTGACTCCTGTGACTTCCCCAAAAGTGGGGAACTTGACTGCATAATTTGTGTTAGTGGGAGACTGCGTGCATGCTCCCCCCTGATTATTCATTGGTGAAAGTAAGACCTTACTTTTCATTATTTTCATACATAGTGAGGCTGTTCTAGTTCATTTTCCAGTTATTTTTCATCTTTCAGCAGCGAGCACGAGCACACCCATTCTTCTCAAGATCACGTGAGCCACTCGCCGCCAGGACTGCCCATGCACCCTGGCCCACGTAAGGAACTGTAATCTTCTATAGTGTCTTCTCATGCTGTAATGAAGCTCTAGAAGCAAGCAGTGATGGAAAGACAGCTGCAAAGCACAGAATCTGGGGATTAAAATACAGTTCCAAATGATTTAAATCATGCAAGTCTACACAGAAAGTAAGCTTTTTGCAGGATGCATGAAAAGCAAAATACAACCCCTAAAAACACTTCTTCCAATAAAAGCAGTGCTTCAAAGAGAGTTGAAAGCAGTGAATGGGTCTAAGCAAATACAATTTAAGAAAGGCAAGAAGAACGTTAGCCTGAGAGGGGGCGATGAGCGGGGGGGCGATGAGCAGGGGCAATGAGTGGGGCAGATGACTGGGGGCAGGCGATGGGGGCAGGCGATGACGGTCCGTAGGACAAATCCCTGAGTAGTAGTGGAAAAAAAATCAGTGAACTGAAGGGTCCAGCTGGCTAAGCAAGAAATAATGAGGAGAAATGTAGACTACTCATTGTTAAAAGGAAGAAAAGCAGACCCACGTTATTGATCTCCTGTGATGTAATAAGAGCAGAGAGGAAAATTTTTCAGAACAACTCTGCTCTCTCCCAGCGCTGAGCTGAGCATGTGCCCGACCCTAACCTTTCAGGACATTCCTTTCTAGGAGATCCGATCCTCCCAGTGAGGATCAGCTCAATGATCTGTGCAAGGGCCGGCAAGTGAAGCAGCGGATACAGCGTCGATGCCAGGGATCGGCCACAAGAAAACTTCTACTCACCCGGAAATGGTTGAAAGGCCAGCTTTATGCACAAGTGCAAGGATGAATGAACATGGTACCTACCCCTTGGCTGCTTAAAAGAGCCTGCAGTGTGTGTCTCAGGAAATTCTGTTGCTGTATTGGCCGGAGAATAACAGGTTAAAAGGTGAGAGCTCTACGTACACAGATGTGTAAGAAACAGCACTGCACTGGCCAGCAATCGAACTCCAGTCTCCCACATGGGAAGCAAGAATTCTACCACTGAACCACCAAAGCCCACCACACTCACGCATCCTCTGAATCATCCAGAAAAGGCACATGTCCCACTTTTCCAGCTGTCCTCAAACGCATTTTAGCACTGCATTCATTGAAAGACAGCAAAAAAAGGTGTTCAGACCAACGCTTGCCTAGGACGTTTACATCCTCCACAACCCCACTGTTACGGCTTCAACAAAAACCGCCTGCCTTGAACAAAACCTCACGCTGTACAAGGACCCGGGCCCCTGGGTAACAAGCCTCTCCGGGAAGATGTCAGAAATCCAGCCAGTTTCTGCTCTCTGGGCCCGTGTCTGCCGAGAACCCATGGAATGTTCATTTCCGCAATTCCTGAGAATAATGAGGATACAGTATTTTCTCTGCCTTCCGTTGGGTGGCTCTCAGATCCGCGCCTCCCAGCGGGGAGACCAACCCATCGGAGCTTCCCAGCCCAGGTGACAGTCCGGGAGGCTGCGCCACTGCGCATGTGTGGGCCTCACTCCCGACCGTCTATCTGGGTGATACAGGCGCAATTTGTCATAGCTAAATCTTGGAAACAACTCGAATGCCCATCAACTGAGGAACAGATAAAAAAGATGTGGTATTCTTATACAGTGGCGTATTACTCAGCTATAAAAAAAGATAAACTCGAGGCTTTTATAGGTAAATAGATGCAACTAGAGACCATACTCATAAGTGAAATAAATCAGACCTACATGTGTAAACATCATATTGCCTCCCTAGTGTAAAAACCTGAAAGAATAAATAAAACCCAAAACATACAATAGATATTATGAAAGGGAAAGAAATTATTGAAAGGAAGAAACAACTGGGATGAGAGAAAGGAGAAAAAGAAAGAAGGAAGGGAAAAACATATATGTATATAGAAGGACAGTGGGATAACTGTACTGCTGGTATCTAATATTTATTGAAAGGAACAGTTAATGCCTAATTTTTTTTTCTTTTTGATCAATTTTGCATGCTTATATCTGGTAATCTGAACAACTAATTTGAAGACAATAATATGCAACAAAAAACCCTGCATACAAAATCCATATGGAAACACTTCAGCAACTTATCCAGGCACTTTCTTTTCGATCTGAGACCTTATATTGTCAACCTCCCACTGTAGCCTTAGTGGTCCTGAGAAGGAAAATAATTTGTATATAAAGTAATTAAAATCCTAATTGTCAGGCTAGACCCCAAGGAGCAACTGGGACCACTAGGACAGGCAGGATTGAAGCAACCAGTGATATCTTTATTTCAGACCAGGTGTGGGTGGCCTGGCCAAGGGCAAAAAGACCATTGGACATGAACAAAGGAAGAGAATATGTTTTAAAAGACAGAGATGGAAAATTTTAAGTTTCTCAGGGGTCATTGGTGGGTCTGGTGCCTCTGGGAGCAGGGAAGTGCAGGATGACAGTGGCATTTTGCTGACATATACAGTGGCATTCTGTAGACATACAGGGTTTCTTGTAAGCCTAAGAACCTGGCTTGGGAACCAACCTGACAAGAATTATTTTAGTCTCTTGGGCTAAGTGAGGAGGCTTCCTATTTGAACAGAGTGGTCTGTCAAAGATTTTTCTCTTCAACTTAGGTAGGGTCTAATGTGGGGGACCTAATACTGATCTGAGGAAGAAATCAGAACCAGAACCAGAACTGGATGAAAGAGAAAAAAATAGACTCAACATAAAGAGATAACAAAGAAGCCCTTGGAGTTAGTTTTTTGTAGTATTTTGTTCTATTTCATTTTTGTAAAAGCAAAAGATAAGTCTTATAATCAATATAATATTATGTTCTGGCTTTTTGACACATGGAAAGCATTTGAAGGGACATATGACACAAAAATGCCAGCAATTTTTAATTGAGTGAAACCAGTTCTTTATCTAACTATATTTTGGTGCATTATATATCATAAGTAGTTGACTATTTCCAAGAAATATTGTTGGGTGAAATATTAACACATTGGGTTTTTTGGGATGATTTTTAAATAGAGATATTTGTTTCTCATATTTCTCCTGGGGAGATTACACTGAAAAGAACCTAGAGCACTGCTAAAAATGCTGTTTCTGAGAGTCACTTTGCTATTTTGAAAGTGAGGAGATATGGCATATAGTCTTGCTTTTCTTGCTGAGAAGCAATGTTGGATGTGGGAGTTACATGACTGTCTGAAAGACAGGAGCTATGACACTGAATATTGATTCTCTTGCTGAGGAGCTAAGCTAAGTCCAGGCTGAGTCTCAGACACACCTGAGCTCCACAAGCAAATCAACTTTCACACTGACTACAGTGCAAGCTTGTCTCTCTCTCTGCACCCAGATCCAAGACACACCCTCTCTGACCAGCACGACTTCAGATCCCATATATATGCATTAACAGCAGCTTGTGTTCTCATACCTCTGCCTAAGTCACCACACAGTTGTTCCTCTAGGCACTTACCAATTCCCAGGGCAAGGCCTCATGCCTCTGAGTGTCCCGCATGCTGCCAGGGAGCACAGCAGTGAGTTTCCTGTCATCGTCCCAGGCCACCCTGTACCTCAGCATTCAAGGATCAGACCAAGCTCAGCATCTCCCAGAGAGCAGTGCGCCATGCTGAGTGACCAGGTCCCCTCCCCCTCAGCACCCCCTCGCCGCTCCGGCACCTGTTGCTACCCCTGCTGGTACATTTACCTCAACATTCATCCCATTTCTCTAACTTGCTCTCATCTTTGGATAAACACTCATCCTCACAATAGAAGAGTTTGTTTTCAGTTTAATTTTAAAATGGTGCTTCTCAGCCTGCTGGGTGTGGTGGTGCATGCCTGTAATCCCAGCACCTGGGAGGCTGAGGCAGGAAGATCACTATAAATTCAAGAAGAAGAGGGGTAGGGACAGGCTTGGTGGGAGCAGGAAAAACAGAGACAGAAAAAATAAATGGGACACTTTGTCCATGTACTGTGGAGAGAGACAAAGAGCGCTGTTATGGTTTGTGTCTGTGTGTGCCCCCAAAGCTTCATGTGGTCATGGGGCAGGCTTTTAGAGTTTGATTGATTATGGGTGTGAGAGCTACACCCGCCCTGGGGTGGATAGATTGCATATGTAAGGGAGAGGAAGAGGCTGCTTGCAGCCATTCCTCCCTTTTGTGCTTGTTGCTTTTGCTGTATTCTGCTGCCATGAGCTGTAGCCCTCTGCCATGTGCCACTCTGCCTTGTAACCTGCCGAGTACAGACTGAAACCTCCACAAACTGTAAGCAAAATAAATCTTTCCTTCCTTAATTTTGGGCATCAGGTATTTTGTTCCAGCCACGAGAGAAAAGTAACCAAGACAAGCACCTAGA